TTTAAAACAATAACAGCCAAAAAATAAAGGGAAATTAAATAAAAAAGGAAATAAGTTCCTAAAAATTACATAAACTTAAAAAAAAAAATATTTTTAATAAAAATTCTAAAAATAAAATTAAAACTAAATAAATAAAGGTTCTCAAGATCAAATGAAATTAAAAAAAGATGTATTTTTTCTCTTAGGATAATGAAATTTAACAATCGAAGACAGGTAATTTAAAAAAATATAATGATATAAAAAAAAAATAATAAAAAAACCGCTCCCCAACGACTCGAACCTGCATCTCTCAAATGGCACCCCAGTGCTTTGCACACTCGGTTATAGCGACTGTTGGCGCTGCGCGAAATTGCTTTTCACCACAAGTGGTGAATGAGACGGCATTTTTCTAAGACTACTGCGCTAGAATAACAAAAGTCTTTTGAACAATTTTGTCATCTAGTTTTATTTGTCTTACGAAAGCCTTTTTACTATCTTAGCCGGAATTGCCCTGTAAAAGTAGATTTCCTGAAACCAATTTCAAGCAGGTGCATTTACATATGAAATCAATAGGGGAGTTCACGATTTGCAACATTTTAGGAGTAAAAGGCGCTAATGAATGAGTTTTCCATGCAACCCTGCTTGATATGTTTAATTTTGACTTTGAGGTATCTTTATTGAACAATCAGCTGTTTGTTACTGGCCCTCTTTTACAGCTGATATTCCATCTAGGGATGTTCGATATCGTATCGATTATTCTGAATATCGATATTTCATGGCAGGATAATGGATTTTTTGAATCGATATTGCAAGGTCGATATATCGAAGACATCGATACCTCACCCGCAATATCGATATTTAAGTTGAAATTTCTTTTTCATCTACAAAAAAGTGTATGGGAAAATACTAAAGTAGGTTTAATCAGAAGCTTGTGTGATTTATTTAGCTCTTAAGTTTGACAAACCGCTTGAGTCGACCGGCATGCCGTTTTAGGTGAGTCTAATATTCTATTCAATTGGGAGTAGGATTTTCAACATCGATTTTTCGATATCGATATCGCTCAGCCCGATATATCGCCATATCGATTTTACATGCAATGAATTAAATCGATTCATGATATCGATACTTTCTTAAATATCGAAGATTCCTAATTCCATCAGGGCTGGAAAATTTAATTTTAAAATTGTACCCAATCTGCAGAAAACCGCGACCTAAAAGTAGATAAATGTACACAAAAAGCAAAAAATTTATTAAAACGTTGATTGACTCAATTAAATTTCTAGCTAAACTTAATTCAAAGTGGTTACTTAGCAGTCTACACTAGCACGCGTTTTGTTGTTATAAAATCAAAGAAACGTTATAATTCCAAAATATTTATTAGTATTCAGTTGCATTTTGGGATTTTGCCAAATTTGTGTATGCTATTTTATTTTTAGTTATTTTTTTGCAACTTTAATTTCCATTTTGTTCTATTAACTCATCTCGTTGCTCGACACATTAACCTGCCAGTCGCCGGTTGCCAATAGACCATGACCACTTGCTAGTCGATGCCGCCGAATTTACCACAGCCGTTAGTCTATATGTATATATTATATATTATTTTTTCTATGGCCAAACAAATCAAATGTACGTTGTGGCGTGCGAAACGGTGGGCCTGACTACCCTGGTCACATCCTACACTGCCGGCAAAAAGTATTGGCACAGCTGCTTTTTTACAATGTGTGCATAAATTTTTATTGTAATATTTTTCCGAAATTTTTTTGTAAAAACATGGTTCATTCCGCAACAAAAAACTTAGAAATATAACTTTTGAACTTGGTGCAAAACTCGCGAAAATTCAGCAAACTTTCGTGCAAATTTTAAACTTTTTAATCAGGTTTGTTAGAATTTTTTTGAGTAAGCAGATTTGTAGCCCAATCACTTTTATTCTAATAAAGTGGAAGTTCGAAGTAGCTACAAATTACCGTTGGTTATTGGCATTTTTTCACGCAGTCTCTTTCATACAAAAAAAAATTTTCGAAAATACTTTATGTGGAAAAAATGCAAAATACCTTCAACAAAAAAAAAATCTCAAAATCAAAGCGATTTGTGACTATCTCCGAACATTTTTTATACTAGAATTTAATGGGCTACGAAACTGCATACTCAAGAAAAATCGAAAAATCTGATTAAAAAGTTGAAAATTTGCATGAAAATTTATTGTATTTTCGCAAGTTTTGCACAAAGTTTAGAAATTATATTTTCGTGTTTTTTTGTTGTAGAATGAACCATATTTTTATAAAAAATTTGCGGAAAAATATTAGAATAGAAATTGGTGCTTATATTGCACAAAATTCGCTGTGTCAATACTTTTTGCCGGCAGTGTACTTTTCGGATAATTAAATTTGTACTTATGAAGTGTTTTTACTTAGGCGTTATATGATTTCTTTAAAAAAAAAAAAACACTTTATTCAATGCGCAGTAAACGTTTTGAATACAACATCATTTTCAAATGGCCTCCACGGCTCCGATTGCAGCACCGATATCCAATGAACGCAATTTTTGAGTGCTTTTTCCACTAAATCAGATGGTATGTGATGATGTGACGTTTTATCGTGCGTTTTTAAAACGGTCTATATAGATCTAGCAGCAGTTTAGAGTACTCGATTCTCACCCTTATTCAGACCTTCATACCATGTACTATGTATATGAAAATGCTATTCTTCAACGTCGTATTCTATGATTACTTAGGCATATCTCTTTGTGCAAAGTAAATACATATTTTCTTGTTATTCTTCAAGTACATTTTTTTTGCTGCATTAAAAATATAAATACCTAAGATAAGTTATCGCAGCCATAATTAATTTTATCATCACTCGTGATAATGTAAACGATTGAAGTGACGTGCAGGAAACCTGAAAAAATGCACTTGAATTAGTGTCGCTTTGTATAGACATACACATGTAGAAACATTTATGATCATATGCTTGTTATCATGATAAAATTGCGATTCTAAATGTTTGCATACATACATTCATCAGGTGTTTGCAAATTCTTAGCAAACTTTTGTATTTGAAGAGTGAAGTGTTTTGTAGAAGTATGATTTTCAATTGCTCGCAAACGTCAAAAAAAAAAATCAGGACCGACAAATTGAGAGAATTGAGATTTTACTTTGTAATTTTTTTTTAACATGGTTGTGAACACCCCCAATATTTTTGTTTTGGAACGAATTTTCGTAGTCCCTTGTCAGTTGGTTTCGGGGTTGTACCATTTCCATGAAAACGAAAAACGACGACACTGAAGATGGCACAACGCCAAAGCCGGTTTGATGACCGAAATTCGTTCAAAAATATATCTTTTTACATCTTGTCGGTAAAATCAACTAACACCAAGAAAGAAAGTATGTATATAACTTTTTCGAATGGGTTAACTAAAATTGTATTTGGATAGATACTTAAATGGAAATAAATTAAAACTTCGTAGCTGTTTAGTTGTCGGCTTCTCATGTTATGAAAATTCGACGGGATATGGGGCATGATGAAAGAAAATGTAGCATTAGTTTTTTAGAAAACGAATTGAAATAACAAAAAATGGATGCCGTTTAAAAATGCCAGAAGGAATAGGCCTGCCATATTTGTGTGACGCAAAATCGGGAAAATTTTTTGAAAATGTCAGATCTATGGATTTCAGTATATTTTAGAAAAAAAGGGTCAAAATCGTTAATTTTTTTTATGAAAAAATTCTGGAAATTTTTCGAAAAAATTCCTGTTTTTGATGAAAAATATATTTTGTTGAATTATGCGTAAAATTTTTCAACAATATTTTTTCTTTTGTAATATCTGAGCGAAGCAAAAAGATATTTGAGCAAACTCAACGCCATTTCAAAGAGAAAGACTTGTACTTTAACACCCTTTTTGAATTTTTTTCAGAGAAAACGTTACTCTGGCTTGCATACACAACTTCAAAAATGGGCAAAAACGGCATTTTTTACACTTATAGGTTAGAATATATCAAAATCCTGATGTGATAGAGCTATTCTGTGGCTAGATTTGAATTCAGCGCACCAAAAACCTTCGGGAAAGTATAGTCTGGTTTCTGGGTAAACATTTTGTCGGCCTGTGTTATTTTCATACAAGCCCTCCCTCCAGTAGGGTCAAGTGAGAGAGCACTGATGGCTCCAAATTATACCTCAAAGTAGGATGTGGCGTATACTCGCACAATCTCTTACACAGTCTTCGCTTTCGGTTGATAGATTTATGAAGCGTTTTTCAAGCTGGAAGCAACGAAGCTACAAGGTGACGGATCTCTCAGCCTGCATGCAGTAGCCATTTTGTCTTGCAGACTGGCTGGCACATAAAATTAGGGGCATCCTTATTTTCGATATTCTTCAGTTCTGTGTGTTTTTAGACCTCTCTAATGTACATATATGATCAACATTAAGAAGATAGCAATATTTTATACCACAATTAACGTACATACATTTTGAGATTAAGTAAAAAATCTTTCGCACCAGATTCGAGTGTACACAAGGCCGTATCACAGGTAAAGGTTAAATTGCTACAGTCAGCTTGGTATATTCACTATGCTAAATGTATAGTAATTCACTGCAAAAGATACAAATTAGATATGTATGTAAGTGCTTAAGTACATATTTAGTACACCTTGCCGCTTTTGATCCATGTATACCAGTCTTCATAACCACGTATTCCAAGTTAGATACTATATCACTTCTATTTTTATATGAGAACTTTAAACAGTCAAATATTTTAATGGCCAAGATTAGGAATGGCACGAAGCGATAACTTATCGGCAAATCAAAAAGAGCTATTCTACGAAATTCTTTATAAACTTTGATGAAATTTGAATTCTTATAGATATCAAAAGGTAGAAACTTTTGTAGAAATTTTTTAACATACTGCATGAGACATGTGTAATCTTTAGTATTCTGATATATGATATATATCATCACATTTTTAATGTGTATAAGCAAATGTATATACCAATTGAGTTACTCATATAAATTTTTTTCTTCTATATTACAGAGGAGCAAGAACGTGTGCAGAAGAAGACATTTACCAATTGGATTAACTCGTATCTCTCGAAGGTAAGACATTAAAATATTTAAGTGAATAAAATACGACTCTTTGTTTTAGTTAAAAAATAATAGAAAAAATTAACTGTTAAGCGGCCTATGCATTAGGGTGGTCCTTAAAAACATTAATGTTTGAATTTTGTTTGGGACGCCCAAAATAAAGGCATCCACGAAAATTTAATAATTGAAAAAAATAAATAAATAAAAAAAGGGTTTGAAACATTTTTTTTTTTATCGCAACAACTTAAAAAAACTGTTACTTGAAATACTGATAAGTTTTACATACTATTAAACAAAAAAAATCGCTACGTTATAATTTATTAATTTTTTTAAATCGCGAAAATTCGATGAAATCTTAAATAAAAGACGAGTGTTTTAGTCAAACAAGAACAGAACCACATCTAAGTACAAAATAAAAACATCCACGAAAACAAAACAATAAAAAAAATCTAAGAGTCGCTAACATGGTTTAAAAAATTGAAAATTTTTGTTAAAATCGCAAAAAATTCGACACAATTTTTATATGATAAATTTGACATATTATTGAAACTTATCAATTATATAAATAGGCAATCATGTTTCCTTTACACCCCTTTTACGGCTAAACTATATTTCTAAGGTATAAACAGTTATATATCATTAGAAAGGTATTTTGATGCTGATGTGCAGGCAATTTTTAAAATTTCAAATCAGTTTAAAATAGAGCGAAAAAATCAATTCAAAAGTCACACCAATACCAATGCACACATGTACATATATGGTTGGGGCGGAAATGCCCCCTAAATGTATGCTTTAATATTGATAGCGAATTAAAGAAACGTGCTAAGCAGCAGTTCAGGAATAAAATGTATGTATACATGTACATGAATAGATTAGACTCAAACAAGGATGAAGATAATTTTGAGTATGGAGAAGAAGAAAGGGATAAACACAGAAATTAAAATAAAAGTAAAGAAACCTAAATATAAAGACAAAGAGGAAGGAAAATTTAAATACCTAACCTAATAACAATGGTGGGGGTGAATATGTAAATGA